CTGACAGTCACTGAGTTAGAACAACCCCTAGGAAGCTTGCTTTGTTGCTATTAGAGGCCCTCCCTGCCAGAGTGTCTTGGTTACAGGGGTAGCATCTCTCAAGGTGCTTGCTTTCCAGACCACTGCATTCAGCAGTCCCCAGTCTCAACCAGGAGTGGGACCAGACAGGCCCTGAGTACCTCTCCCACTCCCTGGAGCCCTGCCAGACACAGGATCATTTGAATTCCACTCTGGTGACTCTGGAGCTGAAGTGGAAGGTGTATCGTCCCAGGAGCTCCAGACCCAGGTGTTTACACCCCTGAAGCTCTGTGAGCCCCTGGCACAGGACACATGCTGCAGGCAAATACACAGGCACCTAGCTCCAGGCTCCCCACCTTGACCTACTCTGTGAGGATAGCCAGAGTTCACTGGGCACAGTGCAGGCCCCTCAGGCTCAGAGAAGGCTGGTTGAGGGGAACAGAGTAGCCCTGAGGAGGGTAATCTGGGACCTGACCCTGTGATGCCACTACTGTGTGTTAGGACTCCATCCCCTGAGTGTTGACCTGCACCCCAGCCCTTGGGCTCTTAGTCCCTTCCTCTTCCTCAGGGAGGGCCAGCAAAGGGCATGTGCCTGGAGCTGGACAGAGGGCTTGTTTACCTCCCCAAGGAACTGACAGTGGTGTCAATCACCAATAAGGACCAAGGGCACAGCCCCAGGAGTTACTGCTTACCTCACTTCTCTTAACTCAGCCTGTACCCTCCCCCAGTCTGCCACTGCCAAGCAAATCTCAGGGGGCATCAGTACCCTTGGGTCATATCCCTGGCTAGACCTGAAGCATCACTCTCCTGCAGACAGATTACTGGGGGAAGGCAGGATCATATGGGGAGTTGAGCCTGGCAGCAGGCATGGTTTCATGCACTGGTTTGCAAAGTTGATTTGAACTACAAGGTCAGAGGTTCAAGCTCACCATTCACTCTTTGGAAACCACTCTATACAGGGTCTTTCTGGGTCAGAATCAACTTGATAGCACTTAACAACAATATCATGAAGACAAATGACCAACAGGCCAGGACCAAGCCTCCTTGAGTATCCAAAACCACATAATGCCAGGATTTCTTGCCAGAGTCCACTGTTAGCGGGTTGGGCTACAGAAGTCTGAAATATTGTATAAAAGTTTTGTTAGAGAAAGAAAACCAGTAGGGGAGATGGGCCATAGACAGCAACATCTCCTGTGCTCACAGCCTGACAGTATTTATGTTGTTGTTAAGTGTTGTCAAGTTGGTTCCGACCCATAGCGACCCCATATAGGGTTTCTGAGGAGCAGCTGGTGAGCCTGAACTGCCGACTCTGTGTTTCAAACCAACTTTGCAGTACCATAGCGCCACACCAGGACTCCACATGTATTTGCAGGGAGAGGTTTTTTCTATAATAGCAACTGTTTCCATTTCAAAAAGGAGGTGGGATTTCCTGTTTGCCTATATAGGTCTGCTCCTTCCTTTTTCTGGCATCTGATGTCTGTGATGGAGCCTGAGATTTCTGGATGGATTCTCTTTGTGGAGGTGTCTGGTATCCTTGATGGAACAGATTTTGTGCCAGCACTGAAAGTTGGTTGTTGTTGTTGTCAGGTGCCATTGAGTCGGAACCGACTCATAGCGACCCCATGCACAGCAGAATGAAAACAATGTCCAATCCTGGGCCAACCTCAGTACTGCCGCTACACTTGATGCCATTAGTGATGCCACCTGGCTGATCCATCTCGTTGGGGGACTTCCTCTTTTTCTCTGACCCTCCACCTTACCCAGCATGACATCCTTCTCCAACGACTGTTCTTTCCGGACAATATGTCCAAAGTAGGAGAGACGAAGCCTAGCCATCTTGGCCTCCAAGGAGCACTCTGGTTGCACTTCTTTCAAAACAGATCTGTTGGTTCTTTTGGCAGTCCTTGGCACTTTCAGAATTCTCCTCCAACACCACAACTCAAAGGCATCAATTCTTCTATGATCTTCCTTATT